GCAATCATTGTTCTTGCAGCTTCTTTTAAAGTTCTGTTCCTTCTTTCTGCTACGCCATTCTGTTGAGAGGTTCTGGCGGCAGAAAGTTGATGAAAAGTTCCATTCTGATCACAGAAGTCCTTTATGACTTGGTTGACAAATTCAGTTCCTCTGTCTGATCTGATTGTCTTCACTTTCAAGTTCTTCTCAGTCTGAAGTTGCTTTAACAGAGATGGCAACTTCTGAAGAGTTTCATTTTTCTTTGACAGAAAAACAGTCCATGTATATCTGGAGTAGTCATCAACCATGACTAAGGTATATTTCTTGCCACCAACGCTTGGAGTCTCAACAGGTCCAAATAAATCCATGTGAATCAGATTTAGAGGACTTGTAGAAAGATCTCCAGCAATGGGTTTGAAGGAATTCTTCACTTGTTTGCCTTTCTGACATGCACTGCAGAGGGTCTCCTTCTTGTACACAATGTCTGGTAGCCCTTCTACAATGTGTTCTCTGGCCAGTTTGTTGATTGTTTTGAAATTCAAATGGTTGAGCTTTTTGTGCCAGTCCCAGCTCAGTTTTGAATCTCCTTTGGCTATCAGGCAAACTCCATCTTTTGCAGTGTTCCAATCAACTACATAGATGTTCTTCTTTCTTGATGCTGTAAGAACCACTTCCTTTGTTGTCTCATGCTTCACATAGCAGAAGTCCTTTGTGAATTCAACAGTGTAGCCTTTGTCACAGAATTGGCTAGCACTTAGCAAGTTGAACTTCAGTCCTTTGACATATGAGACATCATCAATGATTATCTGGATCTTGATCAGCTTTCCTCTTTCTTTTGTTTGACCTTCTTTGTCATTACTTCCAAAGGTAACTCTAGGTCCTTTGCATTTCTGGAACTCTGTTAGGCAACTTCTGTCACCTGTCATGTGCCTCGAGCATCCACTATCAATAAACCATTCTTGTTCAGAGATGGCTCCAGCACACAGTTCCTGCAAGATCAAAAGAAAGATTTAGGTACCCAAGCAATGCTGGGTCCTGGGGGTCATGGAGTCTGGGTAGTTGGTACCATTTTGGTCTCATCAAGTGAAACCTTGGTGGATGGTACCCATTGTCCACCGGGTAGTTGTAGTAAACTGAAGTGTGATTCACTTTGGGCAGATGCTTGTGAGGGTCATGCTTCCTGTTTACATACTTTTGCATAGCCTTTTTTGTTGGAAAGAAGTCCCATATACTATCAAGAGCAGAGGGACGGTTAACCTTGGGCTTCTGAAGTTGACCAGCCAACCTCTTCTGCCTGAAGTTAACTCTCTCTTGATATTTGCCCTTCTGGTGATCATTTCTGGCACGATTGTCATGAGGTTGTCTGTCAATGAATGGTCTTTTATTTTTGTTATCTTGAAAACCTTTTCTGTTGTTAGGTTTTCTGCCAGGTTCATTATTTTTCAAAAAGGGTTTCTGTTGAACCTTTATCTTACCCTTTTCTGGTCTGACTTCCTCAAGAACAACCTTGGTGCCAGATACACCAGCTTGACAGATGGGGCTGGAAATCAGTGGCTCTATGACCTTATCTGCCTTAGCAACTCTGGTGCTAGGCATTACAGAAGGCTCACCTGATTCTGTTGAGCCATAACCAAGACCAAAACCAGTGCCAATCTGTTGATCAAGCACAATCTTTTCCATGGAAGACTGGGCCTTCTGGTAAGCTTTGTACTTAATCTCGAGAGGCTCTATTTCTCTTATTCTCTTGAGAAGAGAAACATTTTCAGTCTCCAGTTGATCTCTTTCCTCAATTAGAAGATTGATTTTGATCTCAACCTCCTTCTTTAAGTCAAGAATTTCAGCTTTCAACTTACTGTTTTCTTCTGTTACAGAAGAATAAGTGGCTTGTATGGCCTTAAACTCTTCCCAAAATTCTGACATTGAATCAGAATCAAAAGCTAAGCCTACCGAAGAAAAACTAGATTCAGAAGTAGAGGTTACCTCATCATCAGAATGAGCCATGAGGCAAAGGTCTTCTGTCTCAGTATCCAGGCAACAGAAGGCCTCATCAGAATCTGAGTCAGAACTGGATTCTGTTTCTGACAGAGGGTCTTTCTCCAGCTGTTCTGTCACAAGTGCCTTTCTTCTTCTGGAGTTGTCCTCATACTTCTTCTTTTCTCCATCCTGTCCTTGCTTCTTGGACACTCTAGGATGGGGACAATCAGCCTTGAAGTGACCAGGTTGTCTGCAATTGTAACAGAGAAGCTCTCCACTGCTTTCTGTTGACTTGAACTTCTGGTATGGCTTTCTGTTGAAAGATGGACTCCTTCCATCTTTGGGATTCTTCATAAACTTTTTGAATCTCCTGGCAAAGGCAGCCATATATTCATCAGATAAAAGTACTGAAGGGTCAAAATCATTTACCTTAGATGTGCTGGCAGTGAGGGCTATAGTGGTCCTCTCTTCTGGTACATCTTCCTTCTCTTCAATCATTTCAAACTCATGAGCTTTGAGATCTGAAATGAGCTTATCAGTGGGATAAGTCTTTACATCCTTGCTGGCTTGGACAGCAACTACCTTCATCTTCCATGCTGAGGGCAGTCCCCTCAACACCTTCAGGTTGATCTCCTTGGTGGTGAGTTCCTTGCCAAGCTCAGAGATCTCTCTAGTGAGATTGAGGAGCCTGTCATACATCTTGGAGATGCTTTCACCAGGCTATGGTTAGTTTGTTGTCCTTCTCTTGCTCATCACCAGCTCCAATGAGCTCGAGAGTATCCCAGATTTCCTTAGCAGTCTTGCACTTCTTGATTCTGTTGAAGTACCTATCATCAATGGACTTGTAGAGGATGTCCTTGGCAATATTGTCTAGGTTGTACTTTCTCCTCTCTTCAGTGGTCCATTCTGACTTGGCTTTACTGATCATCTGGGGTCTGGTGTTGTCTATGGCATGTTCAGGATTGACCTTCTGGAAGCTTGTGAAGGGGCCAATGTCTAGAACTTCCCACATCTCATCATGCAGGGCACAGAGATGTGCTTTCATCCGGATCCTCCAGTCATCAAACTTAAGATCTGAAAACATAAGATTCTTGGACAAGGAGTGATCCATTATATCAGATAGAAATGAGGTAAAACAGAAAAACAAGTGGATCTTTGTTCAACAAATAACCTAAGAGATTATTAGAACAAGGAGGCTCTGATACCACTTGTTGGTCCCGGTTGTACTGGATACAGTCTAGAGGGGGGGGTGAATAGACTGTATTGGTTTTTAGCTTTTTAAACTAAGTACCAGATTTACAGAATAGCCTGTTCTGTTGAAAGAACAGACTGGCAGCGGATGGGGTTCTGGCAGGGAGTTCTGTTAGCCTCAGAGAAGCAAAGGCAGTAGGCCTTCTGTTAACTCGTAGGACAAGTTCTGCTGAACACAGATACCAAGTCCAAGGAGTTAGACAGTTCTATCTAAGTGCAAGTATTAAAAGCAGTAAGTAAACGACACCAGGGATTTTTATAGTGGTTCAAGGAACAACTCGTTCCTCTAATCCACTGTTCCACTAAGCTGTAAAAACTGCCGTTTACAAAGCCTTAGTCCTAGTACTTAAGAAGCACTCCACGTCTTCTTCAAGCCTAGATGTGTCCTGGGATGCACTGCCTGGCTTCCTTTAACACTGGTCCTTTCACTGAGTTTCCTTGAAGTATCACCACTTCACTACTCCAGTTACTTGGACGTCCTTCTTGTAGCAAGAAGAGTTTCTGTTGAAACTGGGGTTCCTCCAACTAGCTTCGTTACAAAAGATTTGTATGTGATGAGCTTGAAGAGTTGAAGAACACTTGGAACTTTGCTTGAGTTGGAAAGAGTATTTTTCCAACTTTTGCCTTCTCTTGTAGAAAATATTGAGTTTGAATCTCAAGGAGGCTTTTTGCTTTTCAGAGTTTGAATATCTTGTTTTTTGCAATGGTTAGCAAAAGTTGCAAAGTTTTCTTGGCAAAGTTATCCGGTTGTTCTTCGTAGTGTATCTTTTATACTGAGGTTGTCTTCCCGTTGGAGGAGTAGGAGGACAACTGCATTTAATGCGCGATCAGTTGACTTGACTAGTAGAGCCCGATAAAGTTGGCGGGTTACTATTTTGGGATAAAGTATTCCTGACATTGCGGCCAATCATCTGCAATTACTCTACGTAGCATGGGGTGCATTAAATGAGCATTTAATGCATGCACTGTAGCTTTTCCGTTTCATACTCCTAGCCGTTGAAGGAATCTTTTAGTTGACTTCCCGGTTCTGTGAAATTCTTCTAAGTGTCAGACCTTCTGGCGTCTTTGTCTGAGAGTATAACAGAGGAGGTCTGGAGCACTTCTGTTGGGAGTATCCAACAGAGACCCAGAAGGGTTTCTGTCAGAGTCAAGACTAACAGAGATCCTGAGGACTTCTGTTCTGGAGCAGAGAACCAAAGGTCCTCTGTTTCAATAATGCCTTAAGAGGCACTTCTGCTCTTGAAGTCCTTCTGCTCTTGAAGCCCTTCTGCTCTTGAAGGTCTTCTGTCAAGTCGATTACTCTAAGAACTTTACAAAGGAAAATTCTAATACATAATTTCTAAAGGGGTACTCTAAAGTCCTAATTAATCTAGCATCATCAAAATCTAATTACAATTATTCCTTACAGATCGCCTCCTAGATTTTTTCTACCACGCAATAGAAACATAATCAAGTATATAAGACGTTGTCAAAACTAGCCTGTTGTGGGTGATTATATATTCACCCGTATTCGTTATCCTTATGAACAAATGGGAGATGCAGGAGTAGAAAATGAGATATGAACAAAAGTGTACACTGACTATGAGAATTGAAGGTTAGGAGTGGATGTGCATAAACGTGCAAAAGCAAATTAGGTTTCCAATATGTAACGATGCACACTCAATACAAAGTGAAGTTATTCATGTGGTTGGAAACATTTTCCTGCTAACCCTTATTTAAATAAAATTGTAAGAGAAACTAATTCGGAACACAAGTATATATTATCATAGATGATAAAGTGACCAAAAATAGTCTCTTGGAAAACTAAACAAGCCAAATGTTGTGTGGTATACATTCTAGCAATTTCCTTGCACAGAGACATTAAGGACATGTAGGTGCTACATACTAACAACAAAGTACAATGTTTTTGAGAAATATCTCATGAACACATTCGAGATGAGCTAATTCATAACACACACCTTTTATCATTGGCGACAATGGGGGAAAAAAAATTCCTTTGTATACTTAAACAACCCAAATGGCATGTGGGTACATTATTACAATTGCTTATAAAGAAAAATTAAGGGCATGTAGGTGCTACATAATAACAACGACAATGTTTGTCAGGAGTATCCCACGAACACGTTCCAGATGAACCTGGTCCAAATTGCTTAATACACGTGGGTATGCAAATTTGCCCCAATGGAACTGCACCTTCACATGGGAGATTTTTATTTACCGGATCAACATAGCAAGTTTTATCACCGTTTACATAGAGATTTTCAGGAATCATAAGGTTAACTGCAAATAAATATATGAGTTTAGTATAATAAGAACAATATAATTACTAACTAGACATTAGAAAGTATTGACACATTTGCATGCAAATGTTTTTGCGTGGAATACAATTCGTTCAGTGGGACATGAAAAACATATATTTTTAATAATTGTCTATTAAATTCTTAACTAAAGGGCGATACAAATATCATTGTTCTATCAAAAATATGTATTACTAGATCTATATAATACACTTTGGGTACTGGTTTTTCATTTTCTAGCTTCTAACCCATTCTGATATTTTAGTACACTCTAACAGGTTTTGTAATGAAAGAAAATTCCTTAAGCATATCTATATATTTTAAAATAAATTTCAAACTCTGTTGGATACAAACTTGTGTTTTTCTCATGTGCTTTATTGATTTCCCATTCCACTTAAAGTTACATGTTTGGCGCTACCTCATGAACAAAAAAAACATAAGCTGTAGAGTACATTGTAGATATACCTGTAGCAAGAATCAATAGGAGAACCAAGTAGATGCTTTTTGGAAACTGCATCATCTTGTCAACCGTTAAGTGTCTTGTTCTTCATAGAATTTGTTGCAATACAATCGCTTTTATACAGGTGGTGGTACACTACATACATACAATCGATGAGTTATGACTTACCTCTTTCGGCATATTTAATTTCACATAATAACGGTTTGATATTTTCTAACGTTCAATGGATGAACATGATATTTTTTTTTACCTAACTTTCAACATTTGGTAATTTGATATGTTATTATTTATGTAAAGTGGGTTCTGATGCATGACATTTAATTTATCATATCTTTTCTTAAGAAATATAAAATGTAGTTCATTAATACATTAGACCTTATAAAAGATTGACATTGAATTGAAGAAGTTTTTTTAGGAGAAGATCATCATTGTAACGTAGGAGTTGAGATATTAGTTTCTTAAGTAACATGATAATAACAGGCATACTATTAAGCCTAGTTTAGATATGAAACCTTTACCACCATGCCTAGGATATGCTTCAAGAAAAAGTTTCTAGGTTGGAGCGAGTTAAGTTCTTTTCTTTTTTGTATAAAGTATACCACATATGAGTGTATCTATGTGTAGATACTCGCTTCGTCCCAACTTAAACTTGTCACTTGCCTAATTGGATGTTTTAGTTCAAGCGTCTCATTTATATTTTAAGATATAATTAGCATTCCAGATGACAACTTAATCATAGAATATTAAAAACAATACACCTATAACATCACATTTATCGTTAATGACCTAATTATATTCTATACCCATCACAACCACTTCTCAAAATATACTCGAATAAACTTATTTTAATATTGTCTAAATAGTTGTGGCATTTTCAATAAGAGACTTAAGCTAGGATGAAGGTAGTAAAAAGTAACTAAAGTTGTAATATGAATTACACTCGAGAAAAGTAATTCAAATCATGGTCTTCAATGATACTCAAGGTCTACAACTATGATCCAATCTATAACATCTAAACGTTTGAATGATAATCAAGATTTAGATAAATAAACACAGGTGTTCGGTATAGAAATATATATGACTTTATATCGTGGATGACTGGTGTCTTATTCTTAAATGGTATTCCATTTAAATGAATGATGATTGTGTGAATGTAACCCTGATTCAACAGTCGAATAATTGGAAGAATTAAAACAGTATAAGAGAAATTTCACCAATAACGTATACCGTGTATATAGAATGATGGATCCATGATGAACAATACACTGTACTCGAACAAGCTAGAGAGAGAATTTCTAATTTACGTGCTCTACCAGAATAATATGCGGAATAGAATGTGTAGAGACTTAGATGTGTTTTCGGCCAGCTCAGCCTTATTTAGAGGAGAGATGCTCGACCAGCCCTATTACAATTAGGAAATAGCAGAATAAGAGCACAAGGATTGAGCCTATTTCTCTCTCAGCTAATCTAATTAATTACAAAGACTCATTAAATAAAATACAATTAATTTGAACATAATAAAATAATATTCTAACATTCTCCCCCGTTGTGCTCAAATGTCGATGAGGCGCAGATTATCTCTGAGTCTTTGATAATGACTTCCGATAGCCAAGGATGACTACATAATGTCTCAGAGTCCTTCTAAATTCAAGTCTGGCTCTTATGGATGTAACACCGTCCCCAAATATATTTACTTTTAAGTAAATATTGTATTGAACCTTATTAAATGGTTAATGAATTTGCGAAGTTGTAAATTTTGTTTTACTTTTGCGTGAATAGTGAATTGCACGCGGGGCCCACATCGGGAGCGGGGGCTACCTTATATTTCCGAGAGCACATTTTTTATTCATCTTGGGCTAGATAATATGTACATGGTGGTGGATATTTTAATTGGGCCATAGAAAGGCCCAAGGTTAGCCGATTGGTCAAAAACGGCCCAATTACCGGTACCGGCAAGTTATTAGATAACAGCCCGAAAATGAATTTCAGAGACTTCTAAATTAAAGTTGGGGAATGTATATTCATTCTAAAGGTCGTAACGATTGAGAACGCATAATATATTTTATTTGATTTTTGTAATGTAATGTAACGGTCATGAAGCCCACCTTGTACTTTCTTGGTTGGTGAATGAAAATACTTCTTATCGTCTTTCATACTTCGATATGTTGCTTTGCGTATCTTTTCCTTTCCTGTTTGTATGATGTCCAAGTGTGTGTGTTTGCTTCGTCTTGCTGCCAAAATACGTAGAAAAGTTTTTTGGGAAATTTCCTAAGTATAAAATGTCAGCCATAGCTTTAGAAAATCTTCTAAGTGGGCAGCCGATACAGACACCTTGGCCGAAGGGGGTGCCTTCAAGTGTTTTGAGTGCCCGATTCGGCTCGATGTCAAGATACTTAGAAATTTTTGGAAAATTTTCTAAGTGTCAGCCCTAATGTTAGGGCTCTTCTAAGTGGCAGCCGATACGGATGTCGGGGCCGATGAGGGTACCTTCAATTGTCCTGGGTGCCCGCTTCGTCTGAGTGTTTTGGAGTTGTAGTTTTCTCTGCGCCGCCCTAGGTGTAGTGTTTGAAGTCCACTTAGGCGAGTGTCAACTTCAGCAGCCGCCCTAGGTGTAGTGTCTTTAACGGTTAGTAGGACCTTATCGGCCTGGGTTGCGCATCGTTGTGCTTTTTCGGCCGATGCGGGTGCTTGCTGAGTTTGTGTTATCCTTCCCGAGGGTCTTGTCGGCTGAGACCAAACGGGGAGAGTAATGAGTTTGGCAGTGTTGACGTCCTGCCTGTTTGCCCCTTTATCGTTTCAAACTTTTTAAAAAATTCTTCCGAGTGTCGGGATTTGGTAACTGATTCCGCTGGGAGCCGCTGACGGCCCTGTATTGTTGGGTGGCCGTAGAGAACCACCAATCTTGTTTCACCCAACCAAGTTAGTTGGGGTTGTGGAGATGCACGCCTCGGTCATGGCACCTGTTCGTGGTGTAGTCTTCGTATTAGACTGATATGTACTTAGTATTTTTGTGGGGATTTCATTTTTTGCTGCTCGAGGTCGGCAAGTGTCACAGTTGGGGTTGTGGAGATGCACGCCTCGGTCGCTGGCCAAAGGTTCCGCTTCGACCCACTTGGTGAAGTAGTCGACTGCGACGATGATGTAGCGCTTGTTGCCAGCAGCTCTGGGTAGAGGGCCGACCAGGTCAATCCCCCATCTCGAGAATGGAATGGCAGTGCTGACGGGGGCGTAGTTGACGGCTGGCCGACCAGAGGCCTTCTGGAGCACCTGACACGTGGTGCATTTCCTGGCTAGATCCGCACAATCCTGCGCCATCGTCAGCCAGAAATAGCCCTGGACGACGAGACACCGGGACATACTGAAGGGGCCCTGGTGTGAGGAGCAAACACCACAGTGAACTTCTTCCATGGCCACATCGGCCTCGTCCTGGTGTAGGCACCGGAGGAGAGTACCATTATAGGATCGTTTGTAGAGTTTTCCATCTTCAATAGTGTAGCTTGGGGCCCTGAGCTTGGCGAGCTTGGCCCTCTCCTCGTCTTGGGGTAGTTCCCCTGTCATGATGAAAGTGGCGATGTCGGAGATCTAGTCCTCCGGTCGCTGTTGGATGTACAAGATGGGGCTGGCATGGAAGCTGGACATGCTCAGCTCCTCGATCTTGGCTAGCTTGGAGATGTGTTCCGGAGTGTCTGAGCTGAGCTTGGAGAGGATGTCGGCCTCGACGTTCTTGGCCCTTGGGATCTGTGTGATCTCGTAGGTTTCGAACGCCTTCAGCAACTCCTCTGCCACCTGCTTGTATTGCTTCATCTGGCCCACTACCAGCTTGGAGTCGCACCTGATTTTGATGTGCCTGGCTCTGAGGCCGGCGGCGAGTCTGAGGCCGCTGAGGAGGGCCTCATACTCAGCTTCATTGTTGGATACCCTGAAGTTGAAGCGGATGACATAGTAAGCTCTGAATCCTTCAGGGGATATGAGGACGCCGCCGCCGCCGCATGACTTCGCGGCCGACGAGCCATCGGTGAAGAGGATCCATGTGTCATCAAGCTCTGGCCCAGGGGTGGTGGCAGTTGTCTCCCTTGCCGTGCATTCGGTGACGAAGTCGGCCAAGGCTTGCCCTTTGATAGATGGCCTTGGCTTGATCTCAATCTGAAATTGACTGAGGAAGATCGCCCATTTCACCATCCTTGAGGAGCTAGTGGGGCTCCTCATGAGTGTGCCAAGGGGCTGCTGGGTCAGTACATGGACGGCATGGGTCTGGAAGTAGTGCCCCAGCTTTTTCACCGTATGGACGATGGCTAGCACCGTCTTCTCAATGGGGGAGTACCTGAGCTCGACCTCCCTAAGTGTCTTGCTGATGTAGAAAATGACCTTCTGCACCCCTTCGTCCTCACGGATGAGCACGGAGTTGATGGCCGACGTGCTCACCCCCAAGTACAAGAAGAGGGTTTCGCCGGTTTTGGGCTTGGAGAGCACTGGTGGGGATGAAAGGTACCTCTTCAGCTCTTCAAATGCTTCATGGCACTCCGCCGTCCATTTGAAGCCGTTTGCTTTGCGCATGATCTGGAAGAAAGGGAGTGACCTCTCGGCTGACTTGGAGAGGAAACGGATCAGGGCCGCCAGTCGCCCTGTCAGCCGTTGTACCTCTTTGACATTGCGGGGCGGCTCCATGTTGATGATAGCTTGTATCTTCTCCGGGTTTATTTCAATGCCTCTCCGGCTGACCATGTAGCCGAGGAACTTGCCGCCTTGGACGCCAAAGGCACACTTCTTGGGGTTGAGGCGGAGTTTGAACTCCTTCATGATTTCAAAAATTTCCCGGAGGTCGTCAGCATGTGTGGTGGCTCGCTTGCTCTTGACAATCATGTCATCGACGTATGCCTCCATCGTCCAGCCGAGGACTGCTCTGAAGATCTTGGCCACCATCCTGGTATAGGTGGCGCCAGAGTTTTTGAGCCCGAAGGCCATGACGAGGTAACAAAAGATTCCCTCCGGGGTCATGAAGGCCGTCTTCTTAGCGTCATCTTCATGCATGAAAATCTGGTGGTACCCTCTGAAGGCATCAAGGAACGACATCAACTCGCATCCCGCCGTC